ACCTACTCGGACACAATTTGAGATATGAATTACGGTCAAAACATCAACACTTAAGCCGTGCGTTTAAGGAGCGACGTAAGCCGATATATTCGATGTTCATCGATGTAATCGCATATAATTCGCTTGTAATACGCGCATCTCCCATATATATATTTAACGGAGCGAGTGAAAAGCATTTTCCGTTAATAATTATTAAATCAATAGGCAAAAATTAAATTATACACGTACATACATGTATATATACGCGTACGGTCGGTCGTAATTTCTAAACGCGATTGCGAAGCGAACCGACCGATTTCTTTAGAAAGACGTCTTTTAGAAAGACGTCAACTACACGATTCGGGCACGAACGACGTGCGAAAAGACGAAACTGTCGGAGAAAACGAAAGAAATCGGCAAAAAAGTCCGGCCGGGAGCGTATTTTGCGATCGACATTGCGACGGCTACGGACGGCGAACGGATATAAACCGCACACCGGCGGCTTCGAGAGATCGCGAGCTACGCGAATCAAGTATGAATATGAGCGAAAAAGGCTAGAAAACGGTCGAAATCGTGTAAAAAGTGTAAATTTCGAAAATTTCGAAAATGATAAGAAAAGAAGTGATAACGCGGTTATTGCCCGCCGCAGAATCTGAACGTTGCGATTGACCGGGCCGGAAAAACGACACAAAAGTCGTCTATCCCCGTGGACAAAACTGGGGACTAACCTCGTTTTATAATATAAGAGATATAAATGTGTTGTACTTATTACATTCTCTATTGGTGAGCTGATTTTTATATGCTTATTAAGTCACATGTCATTGATATGCAGTTAAATATCATCATAATAATAACGCATGCAACACATACGTTGGATATTTAAGCTGATAATATTTGAGATTGTTTTCATACACACATTACAACGGACTTGGAAGCGAACAATCTACGTTACATCCGAGACAACCAGACAGCACTCTTTGCTGACGCCTATCAAGGCCTTCTGGACCATATTAACCAACAGCTCCACCTAGATGAAATCAATCCGGTCGGCCGCAGGACAATTCTGCCTTCGACATTCCTAGGCGGCCCTCGGTACATGAAACAATGTTACCACGACGCAATGTCCATTGTGCGTAAGTACGGAAAGCCTGACTTATTCATAACATTTACGTGTAACCCTAGGTGGCCAGAGATAGTAGATAACATTCCGCGTTGGTTGACGGCAACCGACAGGCCTGATTTGGTGGCGAGGGTGTTCCACGCAAAACTGAAGGAGCTAATGCGTGACATCACGGTCAATAAGGTGTTTGGTAATGTAGATGCTTATGTTTACACCATTGAGTTTCAGAAACGTGGTCTTCCACACGCACATATACTCATCATCTTGGATGAGGACAGCAAGTTACTTACTGCCGACGACGTCGACAATGTTGTGTGTGCCTACTTGCCTGACCCTGCATCCGAAAGGCGCCTACTCGACAGTGTGAAATCGCACATGATTCATGGTCCGTGTGGACCACTCAATCGCAACAGTCCGTGTATGGTGGACAACGGTTGTACGAAGAAATATCCCAAAGAATACAGCGAGGAGACTGTATACATTTCTGATGGTGGTTACCCGACTTATCGTAGACCGAACAATGGACTTGTGGTCAACGTCAGAGGTCATCCTGTCGGCAATGAGTTTGTTGTCCCATACAACCCATACTTGCTGGGCAAGTATGATGCACACATAAACGTTGAGGTGTGCTCTACCGTGAAGAGCGTAATGTATTTGTATAAATACGTCTACAAGGGCCATGACGCAGCTACCTTGGAAATTTGGAATGGAGATGAAATTGAAAAGTAATTGAATTAAACTTATAGTTTTAATTGTTGACTTCTAAATTACATTCCATCTATCATTATTGTGTTGGATTATTATTATGATGATAAAAATGGTATTAACATTGTCCAACAGTCAACCGAAATCATTTTAAAGCTGCATCAATCTCAGTAATGTTACCTTAAGTGTTATTCTGTATATGTGATAGATGTTGTTGGTAAATTTTATTTTCATTAATATTCATATTATACAATATAATAATACTACATTTCATTTTGTGACTTATGAACCAATAATGCTGCTCAATTTAAAATGATTCAATTTTAATAACTATTATTTGTTTTAATATTTTCCTTGGACACATAGTTGAGTAATAATAATAATAACAACATTTTGTTAACTACAATAACATTGCATACCACTTTAATACAATAATAATTAACTACACTCTACACTTATTAGATATATTTGTATGCAACGTCAACTTAATATTAGGTTTGTTCCAGCACGTTGTTTTTCTATGTTGTCAACTTTCAGCGCATGCGCAAACTTAAAGACGCGTTCCAGCCGAGCAAATTATTTACTTCTAACAAAATGTTATCTGTTCCATCAGCGCTACAACATGTTGTTAAGTTGTTGGAAACAATAATTTTCAGTTGTGAGTTGTAGATCCAGTAAAATGTTTTGCGCATGCGTATTATATATTTCTTGTTTACAACAGTCAGTTGACTCGTGAAACCAAGATTTTGCGCCATCACGAATACATAAAATATTTATTAATTATTTATTGTTTATTAATTATTAAAATAATTATTCTCTTGTTATTTTTATTTGTACACTATACAGTCTTGGTAGTATTAATAATTAATTTAATATAATATAATATTAATATTTTATTTTGAGTTTTGACTACTTTACTTATGATGGATTTTGAATTTTTGGACTCGTCGTCCTCGTCCTCTTTATCATCGTCCGACGATGCTTTTTTTTTAGACAGCGACGACGAAGCATATTTAGAGGACAGAAATAGACCGAAAAATGAAAATTATTTTGAGGCTGTAGCAAGGTAAGCTTCTATTTATTATATTATGTAAAATACATTATAAAAGTTAATATTTTGTTAATTGACCTTGAATAATTAGGTGATATCAATACATTTTTTAAACTATTATGTCAAACAAGGTAAATTTGTGGCAGTATATTTATTCACAAACATAAATTCTTAATTTTTTTTAGATACAATGACTTGGAATTTCTGGAACACTTCCGTGTTAGACGCCACATTGCATATGGTCTGGCTATACACTTCGAGGCCAGTCAGAAGTTTAATGAAACAACTGGAGGACATGGCAAAATAACTGCCTACAACCAAGTATGTAGGTTTGGAATAAGGTCACTTTAGTTAGGTACCTAGTATGTTTTTTTTATTAAAATTCTAGGCATAATTCTAGTTTGTTAAATTAACTGTTTATGTGTAATATATTGCTTGAAAACAATAGATATAGATTATTACTGTGGTTATTTTGATGTTGAATCTAATTTTAAATTCTTACCTAATTTTTTTTTTAGGTTTTAATTTTTCTTTGGTTTGCTGGACATCAGACTGCCTCATTCCGAGATGTTGCTGATAGATTCTGCATAACAATAAGCAGCCTGTTCAGAATTGTGAGGCGTCTGATGCATGTTATAAGTTATATGTCTAGCACCGTGATAACCTGGCCAAATGAGCAAGAAAAACAGGAAACAAGAGACTTTTTTCAAATAAAAGGATTTTCCAATGTCATTGGAGCTATTGATGGGTGTCATATACATATTGACAAACCTTCCTCAGACCCAGATTCTTATTATAATAGAAAAAAATTTTTTTCAATTCATGTATGTATAACCTAATAATTGTGTTCTCCTGTATTCATTATTTTCTTATGAAATATAAATTATAGTTAACATTGTTTGCAGATGCAAGCAGTTTGTGACCATAAAAATAAAATAAGGAGTGTATTCATCGGATTTCCTGGGTCGGTCCACGATGCTAGAGTTTTTAGGAGGTCACCATTGGCTGCTAACTTGGAAACTCTATGTGAAGAAAATGTAATTCTTGGAGATAGTGCTTATCCTTGCCTACGTAATTTAATTACACCATTCAAAGATAATGGTAGATTGAGCCGTGGGCAAATAAACTTCCATAAAACCCTTTCATCATGTCAGTATGTTATTGAACATTGCTTTGGTTTGCTCAAGCAAAAGTTTAGGCAGCTTTACCACTGCAAGCTCCGCAAAATTGAACATATAGCACATTTCATTAGAGCTTGTTGTGTACTGCACAACTTGGCGATTGATGATGAATTCCACATGATGAATGAATGTGAAGATGAAGTTAATAATGTCAATAACATTCAACTGGTCGATGACAATGATGCAGGAGATGTCCCTGAAGGAACAGCCTATAGAAATATATTGATGAATAGAATGTTTCCATAGTCTTAATAAAACAATAGTTTAATTATTACATATGTTTTTGTGTACTTTTATTTTATTTATTAAATAATACTTCAATTAATTTTCCATATTTAGATTTTTAAATTAAAAAAATTCAGTACAATACAATGCATATTTGACAGTGGTGTCCATCACTACTAACATGTGTGACAAAATAGCCTGTGTTCCTTGTACAAAATTCATAAACTTTAATCACATTTCTTAGTGTACAGAAACAACTTTTTAATAATATATATATATATATATATAAATATATATTTGTATCATACTACAAGACTAATAAAAATTACAAACAAATGGTGACAGGTCATAAATACATAAATTAAACTAGACTAGAATAAAGAAGTACAAACTAAATGTAATATATTGAAAAAGATCATATGAAAATAAAAATAATTGCATATTTTTAATTAAGTATAATATAACATTTGTGAGTATTACATTGAGCACTTATACCACATGTCTTTGTGTACAATAAAAACTTTTAAATACCTACATACATAATATTTTAAATAAAGATACAAAAAATAACAAAAAACTAAACAAATCCTTCAAACACAAAATATGAACACTGCTAAGTATTAAATATTTACATACTTAAATCATATTTCTTTGTGTACAATAACAACTTTTAAATACCTACATATATAATATTTTAAATAAAGATAAAAAAATAATTGAGTGTTTGATTTACCTACTGTTATTGATTAAGTAGTTTATTTTTTTCTTCAAGCAGATCGTTTTTTCTTTTTCGCTCAACAATTTTTGAATTTTGAATGTTTAAATAACTTTCATTAAATTTTTGTTTGTCGTTTCTTATCATTTCAAGCACATCAGTTCTGGTACCTTTTCTCTTTAAATTCCTTACAGTTTTTGTAATTGGTGTTCTTACCTGGTCTTCAACAGGCCCTGGAGGACCAATATTTTCAAATTCTTGTTCATACATTTTATCTTCATCTATAGTTCTTTGCAGAGCTGGTGTCTCATTACAGGATGTTGATGTACTTTTTATAACCTCAGTCTCGGTCAACAGAATATATCTAGGTTAATTCGTTTAGATTTTTGAAATATTTCTTCCATTTGCTCCTCAAATTCAAAACTTTTCCTTCCTCTCCCAGTTTTTTTATTATTGTCAACAACAGATTTATATGATTTAACTAATGTTTGAAATTTGTTATTTACTTGTGGACCACATAATTTCAGTCCAAATTCTGTATTTAAGATGGTAGCTATAATTTCATATAGAATTTTGAAACTACGGATTTTACTCCCAACATTCTTATGGTTTTTTTTATACTCATCAATTAGCCTTAGGGTAACATTTCTTGACCAATGTGTTTATTCATTAGAATGAATTTGAATAGCTGGAGCCTGGGTAGGATTTTGCATTATTGTATATTCATTATAATGACTTGGAATAGCTGGAGTCTGGGTAGGATTTTGCATTATGATAAGTTCACTCAATTCTAAAAAAAATAAAAATGTTTTGTTGAAACTGCACTGTGTAAGAAATGTATAATTTACCATATATTTATTTTATACCTAATATATATTATATTTGCTAAGAAAGTAAATTTACTTAAGAATAATATTAACTTATCTGTTGTCTTGATGATATTAATTAAGTATTTATGCCCCCCCCTTTATTTAAGTATCCCTCTTTAGGACAACATAATTACGGTCACACTAAATATGGTGTTTCAAGCGATTATAGACTTTTCTATTTTCAATTAATCTAATTAAATTTTACTAACCTTCATAAACGTTTTCCATTATTATTTTGTCAATCTATTTCGTATCTTGAATAGTTGAATCTTCAGTGCGATTGTTTAAAAATACAGGTATAATTTAAAAAGCGTTATTTAATTTAAATTAAATAGTAGGAAAGTGATAAGAAATATCGTATAATCACGGTGTTAAGAGCATGTGTACAATCTATTATCTAATAAAAACATTCGCATTCGTGTTCCAGTGGATCACATAATTTTATTGTTACCAACTTGTTGTTTTAGACGCATGCGCATTAAAATATGTTGCCATTAGCTGATAACTTGTTTACAACACTGATGCTGGAACAAACCTATTATTTATTGTAATCGAAAGCAAATATTCATTGTGAGGTAATCTCATTCCTATGATTTTTAGATGTATACATATATATATTATTTTATTCCTGATTGTTTACGATATACGTTGATGTTGATTTCAGTTACATAAACTCACGGTACGTCAGTCCACCAGAAGCTGTTTGGAGGTTATTTTCGTATGAAATGCATAACAAGAGTAATACGATCAATAGACTACCTGTCCACCTGGAAGACTATCACAACGTGTACTTTGGACCTGGACAGGTACTAGAGCGGGTGCAGAACGCGGCTCTGGCTCGAACCAAACTCACGGCATTCTTCGACCTCAACGCGACAGACGAAGACGCTAGACAGTACCTCTACCAGGAGATACCGGTACATTACACTTGGAACGCGTCTAGAAGAACGTGGATACGACGTCAAAGACAGATGACGTACGAGACGTTGGCTCGAATGTACGTTGTCAACCCACTTGATCGCGATCGTTTCTACCTACAATTACTACCTACTCCTTCACAAGAGGGGCCCACAGTGTTTCCGGGACATGAGGAAAGTAGACGGGGTAGAGCATCCAACATACGCGGCTGCAGCCGTCGCGATGGGACTTGTGGAAGACGACCGAGCTATGTTGGAGTGCATGGCCGAATCAGAAACATTGGACACTCCAGTCCAGCTTCGTTACATCTTTGTGACGATGCTTTTGCACTGCGAGATCACAAACCCGCTGACGTTGTATCAAGCCAGCGAACCTCACATGTTGCAGGACTTCAATCACCGATTGAGGGACATTGACCGAGCGAGGGCTGCGTGTTTGGACGCAATCAACAAGATGCTTCATGGTCACGGAAAATCGCTTGCGGACTACGGTTTGCCACTACCGGACGTCACATTGCTGGAAGAAGACCCGGACGATGACATGTTTGGTGCTATAGACGCGGCGGTGCGCTGGGCCGTACAATTGGACAATTTGAACTACGAACAATGGACAGTGTTCAATCGTGTGATGGCGGCCGTAGACGACAACAGAAACGTATCAAAACTTTTCTACATTGACGGTCCCGGAGGAACAGGTAAAACAACACTATACGGGTGCCTCATATGGTCGCTTCGCAACCAAGGGCGATCCGTGTTGTCCGTGGCTTTTACAGGAATAGCAGCGTCGCTCATGGATGGCGGCATGATAGTTCACTCGACGTTTGGATTGCCGTTCGGTACACTGAACGACGATTCTACGTCGACCATCACCTTGCAGTCGTTGCGTGCTCAGAGGATACGTGACGCAGCACTCATCGTCTGGGACGAAGCGCCCATGTCAACTTCAAAGCGAGGATGTTGTCTGGTGGTGCACAGGAAGATATAGTAATACCTGCGGTACCGCTCACGTCGAGTGGCGAAGACGACCTGCCCATAATAATGCGACGAATGCAATTTTCAGTACGTTTGTCGTTTGCTATGACCATTAACAAGTCATAGGGACAAACGTTTGATAGAGTTGCATTGCTTCTGCCATCACCGGTGTTCACGCACGGACAACTGTATGTATCGTTTTCCCGAGTGAGGGACTCTCAATCCATTAGAGTTGGTATGTTCAGTGATGACCGTGGTAGATTCGTCACTAAGAACATTGTGTACAGAGAAGTTCTACAAGCGATATAACTGTACAATATATGAAATTAAAACTTTAACGTAAAATAAACATATTTTCTTCATTAGGTCATTGAAAATGTAAAAAACATTTTCTTTTTAAGTATCACATATTGATAAATAAAATAACAAACTGAATAAAAATTAAAAAAAACTCTTGATTAAACTTTATATCGACTTGATACATTTTAGAACGTAAAATAAACATATTTCCTTCACTTCAGAATATAACAAAAATCAATTCGTTTTTTAATTATAACAAATAATAGACAAATAATAAATTAACAAATTTAAAGAAAACTCTTGGTTAAACATAATAACAACAGTCAAAGAAGTTCAGGACGTAATATTTTTATAAAAGTTTCTATGCTCTTCGGGTAGAAAAGGAATCATGGCCAGAAGATCTTTTTTCTTCTCTGACGACAATGTGGGTTTCGGAATAGGTATCAATTTCTGATTTTTAAGTTGTTCTGTAGTAGCATTTCTTTTAAAGACATCAAAATCTTTCCAGTGTTCTTCATCAGAAAATGTTTTTTTATAATAGACTTTTTCGGGAGTCAAAGACGAAACTTTAATCATTGAACATGTAGAAATTGGTAACTTGGTAGTGTTCAGAAAATTATTAGCAATATCTTTAAATGAAAAAAAGTGGTTTTCTTCCATCGGAATCACTTGAAATGGATTTGTTAACTTTGCTGTTCTTACTATCTTTTCCAAATCAGAAGGAGCGAAATTTGTACACACTCGACGTCTTTTTTCGATTATAGCAAAATCACGATCGCAAGCTAAAAACGAGTGACCACTTACCAAACATTTTTGTATAATCTCGTCGAAAATGCCCACATTAACTAAAAATAGCATAAAAACTAATAATATTTTATTTTTATTTTGACCAGCACAATTGTCAGACCATAAAATTAGTTTTTTACGATTTATCATATTATCATTTTTATTAATGACTTCAAAAAGACAAGAAGCGATTTCCGAACTTCCACGAGAAGCAATACTTTTATCCCACATACACATAAAGGCTGTATTGTTATCACTGAGATGTATTCCAAAGTTATAACAACTAAGTTGACGGCTGTAATACATATTACTATGAGTAAGTGTAGGCACAGGCAGTACTTGTTGAAGGTCCATAGCAATAACTGAAAATTCATAATTTGGAAGTTTTGCATTTGCCATATCAGTAGCCATTAAGTTCATAGACATTTTATACTGATTGTGATGTTCGTTCAATTGTATTTGTGATATTTCACTTAACTCGTTTTTGGCAAGTACTTTGAGGTTTAACATATCGCATGTCCTACAAGTGTCTACAAGCGGTCGGCGAAATGATAGATTAGAAAACTGTTTCTTAAAGACTTTTTTATAATACGCGTAACTGACTTTAGTATTTGGATATTTATTTTTAAATTCCAAAAACAATCTGCTGTAATTTAGGTCTGGACTTAAGTACTCTTTTTCGGATTTAGAACGACCATAATGACTAATATCTCTAGGAAAACTGTTCACATGGTCAATGATTTGTTGCCTATTTTCACTACTAAAACTTGTTCGTTTAGCATTATCTGACCGAACATCTTTATAAACTGATAAGCCTTCTTTCTTTTTCGATTGTAAAGTTTGCAGAAATCTATATTTTATTCCGAGAATATTTTGAAATGTGGTTTTGCATACCTGACTAACTCCTCCTTCATCATTTGGAATTGTATATTTTATTGTGCACTGTTTATGACTTTGTGAGGGATCAGAGTATTTACCATGACGACGTCTATTAATTTCGGTGGCCTGAATTAGTCCTAAAATGTAGGTACCCTGTTCACTATCATTTGCTAAATGGTGGTAGTCATTAAAGATTTTCAATTTCCATTCCCACAAAATACTTTTGCAGTCATATTTGCATTTGCAAGTCGGCTTTAATAGAATATAATAAAAGTACTGTTAGTACGTTTTATGAATAATACTTAACTATTATATTAATTAGGTACTAACCTCGATTAATGGTTTCGGGATTGCCTGAATTATATGACTTCTCCTCGTCACATACGATTGACCACTTATTCTTTGTTTAGTCTGTTCATTTCTTTTTTTCTTACCACTTCGTAAATTTACACTTTCAGTCTCCATAATATTGGTAATAATTTATGTAATTTGAAAATACAATAACATATTACAATAACATCAGTTTTAGTAGTTTTGAATAATGACA